AAAATGACCCTAACACGAAACTCTACGAACTTATGTTACAACCCAATACAAAACATCTTTATCCAACGTTTACGAGTGCATCTCCCGACTACGTAGAGAACAGTGGGAACTCAATCGCCTGTCTGGGATACTTACCTTGGGAGTTCCAGATCTGCCATCTGCACCCTCAGGCGCAAGGGCGGTCGCAAGCTCTCCTTCCTGTAATTGCAGATCTTTTTAGTCAAAGAAAATCCACTCTCCAAGTAGAATGTATAGCCGTATTCGTGTGAAACTAACCTTGGGAGCTCCCGGTTTGGCTTCAGCACCTTCGGCAGGCGATTTGGCAGTAGTAACTCCTTCTTCCTGTAATCAGTATGACTTCTGCAATTTAATACAGCTAAGCCTACTTGTGCCGAGATGGAACATGGCGAACAGTGGAGAGCGCTAGGAACACTGGACGCAAGCGCTGGCGGGTCATCTTTGGCACTTGCCTTACTGTCCCAAATTGCATGAATTTATGCGACACGTGTCACCCGCAACATGTTTGGCCCGATGCTCCAGTCATTTAGATACCAATCGGTACCGGAATTACAGTTCAACATTTTAGTTTCTATCGGCTTATAGTATAAACTGGTAACCTTTTGTCGTTCCTACAGTACTACCTGATGAGGACCGGACTGCATTTCGCCAAAGCTGGATGAATCACACGCCGGCCGCAACTTTCAGTTTCTTTTAATCAGTATATTGTAGAGGCCACTCACAGACTTCACAGCCTGCTCTGGCGTTGCTGGTTCAGCCGGTGGCTCCTCGCCCTGGATACTTCGACGGCGACGGACCCTTTCCGGTTCCTTGGCTGACTCTAAAATCTACGCGTTCAATGTAATTACAGGCGCTAAATCTTCTTTTCAACCCTAAAATTCTGGTCTCCAGCACTATGAGAATATTCCATGTTACTCAAAGTCCCGAGTGCTGTACGACATAATAGGTTACAACTTCCTTCCCTTCACCACGTGGTATAGGCACATGGTACAGCGCTTGCTCCACCGCGCTCTCCGGCTGAATTCTCAACCCATCGTTGAAAACCCGAAAATGCCTGGACGGTTTCGTTTTTTTCCCTTTATATTTGAGCTTGTACTATACTTCCAAGAACACCGTTGTCTGAACAACTGCACAGGGACTAGAGACGCCTCAGGAGCTGACTAGGGCTCGTGCATGAGTGCGACGCAGTAGTAAAACACAGAGTAAAACGGCACTGTAACTTTGTTAACAGAATCGTTTAGCAGATTTGGAGGGTGGATTTCAGACCATCGTTAAAACGATGCCGTCTTGCTCTGGATTCCTACTGCGACCTGGTATCCTTTCTTGTAAGACTAAGGCGATTCTACTGGTGCTCAATCTTCTCATGGTTCAATAAACATAAAGCAGCAGCGAAATGGCGCAGGACTCACCCTTTTCTGATGCCTGCTGTTCTTGTGGCTGCATGGGAGATCTGCAAATGTTTGGATCGAAATTATTTCGAACTCTTTACTGGTGATATTGAGTCAGAACCATTAGCTTTTAATGGATTGCTAATGCCCTCGAGGAGATTGTTTTTTTGAGGGCAGTATTCGCACTACCCTCACTCTACATACCTTTGTACTGATCTAAATGTGTGAAAGTCAAATGATTCTAAGATAATGAAAGTAAAAGTTTAGCCTTACTTTTTCCCCAAAAAAGAATTTGAACCGAACTAGTGGAAGTGGCACACCTAAGAAGACCAGGACTCGATATTTCCACTAGGCACATTGCCCAGCTGTTATGAACATTACTATGTACACTATGGGTAAACCCAACTGTTTCACGACCATTCATATCTCAAAGGCATGGCGTACAGCTGAGAAATGAGCCCATACTCGAGGTCACCAGGTTCCAAAACTAGGTCAATCCAAACCAGCGGCTTTGGTCTCGTGAAAGAAATTACAATCCAGAAGAAAGTCATGGACAGAAAAAGTCTTAATTCATTTGTGTTTCCAAACAAGTTGACCTGGAGATCTTTCGTACCTTTTTTTCGAAAACCAAGTAATCAAGCTAATAAAAGGTTAATTGTACAGCACGGAACCCACCGTTCGCTGGTTACATCGCTCTGCTGCGTAACGTCTTCTTTGAGCGGCTGAAACAGCTCGAATACTGCGTTGTAACTCCCACTATCAGACATTTCTCTTTCTTGTAGTGTAGGTCTTTGAAAAATTCTTGAAAGTAAGCTTACAGGAGTATCGGTCCAAACAAGAGATCTATCGGGATACTTCCTCATATAGTCATAAATTCTCTTCTCTTCCTTATAAATTGGAGTTGTTCGATCCCAAAGAGAGCCAGTCCTGTCGTCGATGATTGTATCGCGGTCAATGGTGATGCTGCAAATATGTCTGTCATTTTTCCATTCCATCACTGAAGAAGATATGTACACACGAAGAAATGCCGTGCTCCTGGCATAAAAGAAATATGAAGTAAAAGGGGTTCTCTCACCTGTCGTCGTCTACAAAAACACGCTCTTTGAACTGAACATTTCCCTTCTGAGAAGTTGCGTTTTCCCATTTTGTCCTGGAATTTTAGCGATGCATTTCTACCCCATCCGTTCAATAGAACCTGTTCGTGAAAGTACGGATATCCTTAATTCAAGTTGAACCCACTCAGGAAACAGGCCATGACTTTCTTCTATTTTCTTTTTTGATCTTCATCTTTGTATTTATACTTTTGTTTTTACCCTACGCCAATTATGAAATGGTCCACGTTCCATCACCTGTTTGTATAACTTAGGCTAACACTTTTCCCCCGGACGTTGTCGAATCGAAGAGCGAGCGCCCGGGAGACGGGCGTTAGAAACGATTTTGGGTAATC